CGAACATCCCTTGCACATTTTTGTATTTTCCTGTCGATATTTGTGACTTCAGAAGCGTGAGTACGAGCTTCATATTCCAGTTTCTTTGTTTCGGCATCGGTTTGCTCCAAATTATTTTTAAGCATTGCATATGATTGAGCGCTTTTTTCTTTTCTCTCAACAAGAGCATCAATTTGCTTCTCCAAAACGGTCACTTCATTATCAACACGTGACATAAACTCCATTAATTTTGACGTTTCCGTTTGAACACCTTGTATATCTTTTCGGCAACCCGTTATCTCATTCTCTAGAGCTTGTAAGTCGTCTTTCTGTTGCTGAAGGGCTTCTTCGGTCTTTTTCATGGCTTCATGACGACGCTGCATTCCAATAAGGGTACTTTTCCATTGTTGAACCAATTGTTTTTTCTCAAAATTGATGGCCTCCATTTCTGCTAATGCCTCCGCCAAGATTTCTCTCGCTCGCTTGGTTTCTTTTTGTTGACTCTCAATCTGTGTATTCACTGTGGTCACTTCCTCCTCAACAAGTATTACTCTTTTTTCAAGGACATCAATCATATTATCTTGCTTCAACTTTTCCCTTTCCAAATTTGTAATATCTTCTTCAGTCTTGTAGGCAGCACGACGTTCCACCTGAACCTCTTTTTTAAGCTGGTCATTGAATTGTTGAACCTTGACAATTGTTTCGGTTAGTTTTGCAAGATCCGCTTGTTGCCGCTCGTGTTGTCGCTGGTAATCTTCAATTTCTTTTCGAAGGCTATCAGCTTGTGTGGAAATTTCCTCTCGTTCTTGTAACTTTTCCTCGTACTGCCTTTGGACCGACACATGCTTTTCATGCTGTTTCTCCAATGTTTCCTGTAACTTAGCTAGATGTTGTTGAGCATTATAAAGTTCAACACCATATTTCTCCCTTTCCTTTTGAACAGTAACAAGTTCATTTTTGACATCGTAAAGCTGCTGTGATACCTCTTGAAGATGCTTCCGTAATTGTGCCTCTATACGCTGTTGAATTGGCACCAAAACAGCCGACTCCGGGTCCATTTCGGAGACATCACTTGGGGACTCATAAGGCGTTTCAGCCATAATTTCCTCTGATAATGACGTAAAGAAACTAAAAAAAAAAAATCGCAAAGATAAAACAAGTATAAACTTACAGCACAAGAAGCAGAAAAAAATATAAAAATAAAAACAAAGATATTGTGTCATAAAATAAAAAACACCGATAAAAAGTGAAGATAAACACAGTTGATAGCGGCAAATTCCTGAAATTCACCAGTCTGATAATTCTCATTCATTTTCCATGGCCTTACTCATTCAATATAACAATGAATTAAATCTTTTTCTCCTTTAGGCGTTCTTCTTCCTTCCTAGCCCATTCAGGCATTTTGTTAATCTCACGATAATCTGGCAAAGGTGCCTGATCAATTCCATTTTGATGAGGACGATATTTTTCGGGTAATTCAGGAATAACGCGATAACTAAAATCAATAGTTTTGAATTGTTTGTAATACAACCATTCCTCCTTAGTATCAAAATACTCAGGCGGATTCCCATTCTGAAAGGCATGAACAGCATTTCTAATGGCAATTCGGGTCATTCGCGGTATACCTCGGACCCGCAACTGTC